AGGTGGGGGCAGACACGATGATTCTTGACCGGCAATTTACTAGTATGTTATATAATACCCATATATCTTCACTTGCTAACTAAACCTTTATTATTCGTCTAAATTAATCCCTTCTAATAGATAAAACTATCAGGATAAACTACTTGGACACAAAAGGTGTTAGAAATATTACCAGTGATATTGACAGTACCTTAAGTAAGTGATTGTTGTTGAGTGAATCCAGTAGCTCTTCCTCAAACTTTTCTAATGAAGGGTAGAGATGGATGCACAGTTTATCCAAGTACCATGTGACTGATTTCATGAGCTGGGGTTTCCAAAAAAGATCATCTGAAAAAACAGCCAGCCATACATTACATTGCAGTCACCTGGCCCTGCAGTCACCAGACACAAAAATAACCAGAAGTACCAACCAGACAGCCAGTGGTACTCTGGCCACATTCCCTGCTTTGGTTAATAGACATGGCATTTGCAGTGATTTATAATAACAAGCTCTCGTATTTCCACAACTAAAATGAATACTCAATGCATGTACTGGGGCAAGCTGTGCTCTCCTTCACAAGCGCTGACAATAACTAACTGTACTATTCAGCTGTGCAGAGCAAGCACATTATAGAGGCAAAGTAACATCTGCTTCCCCTTTCAGCTGTGTTTTTCTTCACCACCTATATTCTCCAGCCAGAAGGAGCCAGCTGCCTTCTTCCTCCTCTTGTTAAATGGACTGTGATCCACCTTCAGCCTAATATGCTAAGACAGCCAACAAGTCATTCCAACAGTTTAGCTGGTCCTACAGTATGGGACCAAGTGGAAGAGATCTAAGTTAATGGCAGATTTGATGATCTCTGTGCCCCGGCTGAAAGAGAGCCTGCACTGCATAGGAGAACTTGAGGGGAGGAGACCACTTCACTCCATAACCACTGTAGATGCTACTGCTAACATTACCCAGACTTGGCTATTTTATACCCTGAATGGTCCTGGACTTACCATGTTTGGACCAGACTCTGCTAATAAGCAGAGTGTGGAGTTAAGGGCAGGGACCACAGACACCAAAGAAAGGGGATAAATTATGAGAATTTCTAGAAACAATCACAAAGGAAATGGCTAGTTTCTAGCATTGGCTGTTGCTACCAGGGTCTTTTCAAGTGTATGAACAAACCCAGTAAGATTTTGCCGTTCCTATACTATGGGACTTGAAGTGAAAAACTGATGAATAATGAACTGTTCAGTTACTTATGGGCACTCTCAGAGGTTTCAGCACTGCTGAATAAGGCAACCATGAGCCCATCATTATTCCTATCTTTTTGTACTATATAAGAACATCTCCACCATTACCCCAGGAGGGTTGGACTGTACAAACCTTGCTCTTGTTAGTAAGCATTCACTGGAATGAAGAGCTTTGTTGACTTGCCAGTGCACATAATTTAAGGGTTGGAGTGGAACAACCTAGTTTATGGTGTATATCACCAACATACTCCCCATCAAACCAGGTTAAGGCAAGCAAGCAAACTCCCTGCCACCCCTCACCCCCAGTTGTATCATAATTGGATATAGGTTATGTTTCTTTGTACTAACAATACAAGAATTTCCCAGTTCAGGTTATCAACCATTACACAGCACTGGAGTTGGGGTGGGCAGCTAGCTTGGGAAAGCCTTAGAAAACATAATGAGGTATGAACACTTTCCTGAGAAGCCTTTCCCATAGAAGCACCTGAATAAGATTTCATCCTCCTCCACCAGCCTCACAAATGAGCATTCACAAACCTACACTCCGTTGTTAAAAGAAAAGCCTGGAGTCTATAAAGTGCCTGACAATAGAATTAAATAACAACATCTCAGGCAAGTGTAACAGTTATACAGTGCTGCAAGGAATGAAGAAGTTCATAACAAATTAGTGCTAGGAAAGCCTGTAACTGCCTTAATTAAATTTTGGAAACCAAATATACCTTACTGGTTTCATATACTCTGCTATCTGAAGTTTCAGTCTATCAAATTACAGGGTACATTCTGTTTAAACTACCCATTTTAAGCCAATTTCAAGCATTCTGTTCCTTTATGTCCAGTTTCCAACTGGTATTTATTGCTTAGTTCTTTTGCTTAAGGGAAAAAAGCAGAAGTGGATGAGTTTACTAACTTTTCAGGACAAAGCTTTTCTTTTAAAGCAAATGAAATAATCCAGTAGCATTTTAGTAGAGTAATGCTGTTAGACTTTTTTAAATGAATTAATTAACTAAAAGCAAAGAAAAGGGAGCAGAAACTACGAACTGTTCTCTGAACGTCCTTTTGTAAACTATATGGGAATGATACTGTTAAATTTATATTGAAGT